GGTCTTCCTAGTAAATCTTAGATTCTTGGCTTTGCGGGGTCTTAGCCAAATTTTACACTTCTAGCCACCTTTTGTCTAAATAAGTCATTTTGCAAAAATAATCGCAATCATGTCTTGCATGTGTCTAATAGAGAATGTTATTGTCTCACATAGTGTTGGTTTAAGTTTTCTCATACAGGTGTGAATTTACTAACCGGAGTTTGAGCAGGACAGATACCCCAGGACCGCTGCATTCAGGAGTTGCTTAAGGAGATTTATTTTTATTTTTATTTTTATTTTTACTTTTCCTCAATTTTTCATCCCAAATTCGAAATTGAATGACAAAACTAAGATTAGATTATAGGAATACAACTAGAAAGGGATTAGGAATCGTTACCCACTGATTTCCTCTTCAAAATCCTCCCAAAATCAAAATTCCTAAGTTCTATCCAAAATCACCCAATTTTCCCTTGAAAACCCTTGATTTTGAATTGAAATCATGTGAAAAGATGTTATGGATTGAAGAAAACGAGTTAGAAATGACTTACAATTGATTTGGAGAATAACTTTTCTTTAGAAAAATCGCCCAAGAGAGCTTAGGGCTTGAGGGAGTTTGAAAAATAATGAATTGTCGGCTAAGTTATGATTTACATAGGCGCAGATATCGTATTTGCGATGATATGTTCGCAAATGCGAACTCGTAATTGGGGCCAAAGCTTCGCAATTACGAAGGATGGCCTATCTCTGCTTGCTTCGCAAATGCGAACACTGTTCGCAATTGCGGTGCCTGCTAAGGTCGCATTTGCGACATAAGCCTCGCAAATGCGAAGGTTCCCTGCCCCAGCCCATCATCGTAATTGCGATGCTTCTTCGCAAATGTGAGCTCGCATTTGCGAGCCAGGCTTCGCAATTGCGAAGCCTGCAGACCTGCAACACACAGCAGTTTTTCCTAAGTCCAATTTCACTCCGTGGCCTATCCAAAACTCACCCGAGCCCTCGAGGCTCCAAACCAAACATGCACGCAAGTCCAAAAATATCATACGGACTTGCTCGTGCGATCAAATCACCAAAATAACATCAATAACTATGAATTAAACCTCAAGTTCATGAAATCACTCAAGAACACCAAAATTCCCAATTTCTCAAATAGAGGTCCGATTTATACTAAACGAGTTCCGATTCCTACCAAACTTCACAGAATCAACTTATTTATTATATAAGACCTGTACCGGGCTCCGGAACAAAAATACGGGCCTGATACCATCATGTTCCAACACTATTCAATTTCTAAAAACCTTTATATTTTCCAGCAAATAATTTTCTTTAAAAATTCTTTTCTCGGGCTAGGGACCTCTTAATTCGATTCCAGGCATACGCCCAAGTCCCATATTTTACTACGGACCCTACGGGACCGTCAAAGCACGATCCGGGTCCGTTTACCAAAAATATTGACCGAAGTCAACTTTAATCAATTTTAAAGGCCAAATTCAATATTTTTCTTAAATTTCACATAAAAGCTTTCCAGAAATGCGCACGGACTACGCATGCAAATCGAGGAGAAAGAAAATGAGGTTTTCAAGGTCTCGGAATCCAGATTCGGGTTCTAAAACGAAAGATGACCCGTTGGGTCATCACATATAGTCCACGCCATATGTATGAAATTAGACGAACGGGTTCGAATCGCCTCAAATTTTGAGGGCCAATTAGAAATGACCTAATGAACAATAGACATCGCTTCTCCATGACCGTTCCTCGTTTTTTGATATTTTAGGGCGTTATAGAATAGGAATTCAACACGATTTCCGACTTTTCGTGTGCTATAGTCCACGCCATCTACATGAACTCGGGGAACCGGCTCCAACTCGCCTAAAATTTTACGTGCCCATCAGAAACGACCTAATGAACAATAGTTATCACTTCTCCATGACCGTGCCTCATTTTTGGTATTTTCAGACCATAAAACAGAAACTTAGGACAATTTTAATTTTTTATGTGCTATAGTCCACACCATCTGCATGAATTCGGGCGAAAATTAGGTATGATCCAGTATTCCTTATGGCCCTAAAAATGAAAAAAATGAGAAACGATCATGGAAAAGTAATGATTATTGTTTATTAGGTCATTTTTATGGGCCCATAGAATTTTCTACGATTCAGAGACCGTCGTCCAAATTCTTAAAATTGGCGTGGATATTAGCACACGATAAATTAGAAATCATCCTGAATTTCTATTTTATGATCATAACATGCCAAAAAATAAGGAACGGTTATTGTTCATTATATCGTTACTGATGGGCCCAGAAAATTTTATGCGATTCAGAGCCCGTCACTAGAATTCATGAAGATGGCATGGATATTAAAACACGAAAAAATAAAAATCAACTTGAAATCCTGTTTCATGGTCCTAAAATGTCAAAAAATAAGGAACAATCATGGCGAAGCAATGACTATTGTTTATTAGATCGTTTCTGATGGTCCCACAAAATTTTAGGCGATTCGAAGCTCGTTGTACGAATGCATGAAGATGGCGTGGACATTAGCACATACAAAATTTTTGAAAATTTTTTACACGCTTTATCCTTTTTTAACTATTATTTAAAAAAAATAGCATCATTTCTTGTTTATTCCATAAAGAGCATTTTTTTTCATTATTAGCATATTATAAAAATTAAGCTCAACATTTAATAAGTTAACTTATTGCATTAATCACGGGAAGTACTTTTTTTCCATATCCATTCTCCCTTTCCAACATTCATCTTCTTCACTACATTTTCAATAATCTGATGCACATGTGAATGGCACCTACATTCAAGATGTATTGATTTATACGTCTTTTATACTTAGTATCTCAAGTATCACTTTAATTCAATATATATATATATATATATATATATATATATATATATATTTGTGAGGTGCCATCTTATTTTAAGATATATTTTTAATGTATATTTCAAATATATTTTATATGTCAACTGCCATTTTAATTCAGGATGTATTTTTATGTATATTTTTTTTGTATATTTATATCTAGTGCCATATTAATTAAATTTAAGATATATTTTTTATGTATATTTCACATGTCTAAGTGTCATTTTAATTGAAGATGTATTCTTTATGTATATATTTTGTATATTTTATATGTGTTAATTTAATGTATATTTTTTTATATACGTTTTGTATATATTAACGTATATTATTATTGGAGTAAGATCTTTATGTTAAGAAAAGAAGAAAGAAGGAAGAGAGAAACTTAAAAAAGACAATTAAAAAGAAAACGAATGGAACAAATTTAGAAGATATATTGGCGTCGGCAGAAAATAAAATTAAGAAGAAAACCCAAAAGGTAAAGAAGGAAAGATAATAGATAAAGAGAAAAAAAAAAAGGCATGATTTTCGTACAAAGAATTATTGATTTTTCATTTAATTTGCTTATGTTTAGGGATTAATAATTAATACTCTGGAACTGTGTGCTATAAATATAAATATTTTCCTGCCACAACTGTAATACTGTGTTTCATGCTAAGAATTTGTTATACTTTTTCTACTGTGACAGTTATGTAAAGTTTCCGTAGTCGATGATGTAAGAAACTATACATCATTAACGCGCAGAATTAAACCACTGTTTATGTGTCTTGAAACAACTTAGGCTAAGTAGTAAATAAAAGAGGAATTTTTAGAAACCACTATTGTTTAGTGCTTATTAATTTTCTATAGCTACCATATACATAATTACTTTCTATACCTACTATTCAGTTGTTATGGTAGTGTATTTGATGTATTCATGAATACAGCAGCAAAAAGCGCCTAAAAATTCGGGCAGTCCAGCTGTACGTGCATGTATTCACATGTATTCGTGCCATGTATTCATGAATACAGCAGCAAAAAAGCGCCTAAAATCAGGGCAGTCCAGCTGTATTCGCGCTGTTGTATTCCTGAATACAGCAGCAAAAAGCGCCTAAAATCAGGGCAGTCCAGCTGTACGCGCATGGAGTCACATGTATTCGCACCATGTATTCATGAATACAGCAGTAAAAAGCGCCTAAAATCAGGGCAGTCTAGCTGTACGCACATGTATTCGCGCTGCTGATTCATAAATACAGTAGTAAAAAGCGTCTAAGAGAGAGGAAAAATATAAATAGCGTATTCCATGCCTTATTTCATGCCTCAATGGTAGTATATACCATAAATACTTATTTTGCTATAAAATATAAAAGGTAGCTATAAAAAATAATATTTTAAAATAATTTTGGTTTATAATAATAGGGTTTATACCTTTACTATATGAGGTAAAATGTCCTAAATAAAACTTTAAACTAGAGGACTTCAACTTGAGCAGTTGGCCTATTATTTACTGTGAAATGATTTGTTCTGAATATTTTCGCTTGATGTTTGACAATGGACTTTAAAGGCAAAGGAAGCCAATGTCTCAAAGATTAATACTAACATTATGTTTTGTTTTCACACATTTTAATTTTAAGACCCATTCGTAACCCTCGATCAGCCCAAATTCAGAAGGAGTACATAACATTAGAAAAATTAATTTGTTGAAAAGCTTTCTAAACATCGGTTGAGAGCTATAAATGGCATAACTAGTTTCATAATCCGCAAAGTTGAAGACACCAAACTTAAATTGAACAGCTCTGCAAAGAAAACATTTTGTATTCTGATAATGTCAAGAAAATTGATAGTATAGGAATACTCAAATGAAAACACAGAATCTAAGGCAAGAGGAGTCAGCAATTTTCGAGAGAACTTGCGCGCACCTCGACTATTTCACGGGATACCTACCACCTTTATTATACTCACTTGATACCAGCCACCTTCAGTCGAGTCATGTCTTCCAAATAAAATTTTATCAGTAACAGGCTATTTAATTATTTACAACAAATCAATAAAAACTTTATCACTCCTAACTAATAAATGATTCATGACGTGTCTTGCAAATAAACTTGATTGTTTAACGGTTATGTGATATGTAATCGCACTTCAAATTGTAATTCCTGAAGTTAAATTGCTTAGTTCACTACGAACGCCAAACGCAGTACTTTCTGCAGGTAGAATTGTGTCGAGGTAAAGTACTCTTAATAACAAGATCTGCTGCTTCCTCTTTATCTTGGTTTTCTGTACAAAGCCATCTATTGATTGGCAAGAGAAACACTACAGCCATCTATTAATAGTAGCATTATATCTAGAGAATTTCCCACTCAGATTCAGAATGATCATTAGCTGACAAGTTCTTTGTGTTCGCGTTCGCGGCAAGAACCTGCATCACCTTGTCTTCAGCCTCTACGTTAGTCTGTTGATCTGCATGTAATGCTCCAAGCTGCTCGTACTCTTTCCTCGTCGACTTCTTTTTCTTAGAAAATACTTCCCGCAGCTTCTTCTGAGAAAATAACTGAACTGTCAACAAAATCTAGAGGCGCAGATTCGCGATGAAACAACCCTCCCACCACAAACAAACCAACAAAAACCATATAAATAGAAAGCAAGAAATACCAAATATAACACGAGAGGAAGGAGGAGAGGGAAATGGGACCTTGTACGACTTCTGTTTGACTGAGCCCTGAGGAATATGAAGCCTGCCCCCTTCAACCAGGACACATGTTTCCTCCAAATTTGATTCATCAAACTGCTCTACGATTTCCACATCGGACTCGTTTAAATCATACTTCTCGGGTGTAGTAGAACAATATCTATCTGATCTTTCTGTAAAAGATAACATCAGCAGACACAAAAAGAATGAGAGAGGATTTTAATAAAGGTGCAATTTTGAGGAATCGGGATGGAAATATCTTAAAAGCAGGAGTATGCTGGTCGGTTGCATAAAAAAGGATATGAAACCTACTCTCCAAGATTATATCAGAGTAACAATGAGTCTAGCATTACAGGTATACAGAAAAATTGGAAGCAAAAAAGAGAAAGGAGGAAATCCTTTTTTACTGATAAATATTGTAAGTACCTTCGCGGGATTTATTGATCTCCTCACGAGCAACGTCAGCGTTGGGAGTATTACTGCTAATTTCTGATCCAGTCTCACCTGCCAACTCCTTGTCCGTATGCCTATCTGCTGCCATATAAGAAGTTATTAACATAGAAAAGGAGTGAGAAAAATAAAACAGAATACTGCTAAACACATATACCATGAGAGTCTGATTGCAAGTCACAAATAACGGCTGTGTTTCTGAGATCTGGTTGACTCTTCCCAACAGATTCAACTGATAAACTCGTGTCAGAAGCTGCAGCATTACTCGAGATTCCAGCAGCAGACACATTTGTATCCATAATATGATTGTAAACCTCCTTTGTTGCTTCTACAGAATCATGTCCTTTAACTGAGGTCGAGGGCAAAGTCATGGTCATGCAGTCAGATGCCACTTCAAAATCTCCCCTAACCTTAGAAACTGAGGAAAATTTGATTGCATCCCTTGAGACGAGACAGATAGCATCAGACTTCTTAGATGGAGAATGACTATCTCTAACAATCTCTTTGATCCCAACAGTTTGACGTCTATAGACTCCTCCATTTTTGGTTTTCCCTGACACGTCATAAATTAGTCTACTAGCAGTTTTTTCCTGGGACACTAAAATGATTGATAATCGGTATCCTTACCCTTGATAACTTGAGTATCATCAATTAATTTCTTAGTAATTCCCCTAGGGTTGTGTCCTTTAAGGTTTGCTTTCAGCTTCTTCTTGATTTCAGTGTGAGCATAAGGGTTCAGAGACAAGTCAGCAGCTGCGACTTTCACGGGATCTATGTTACAATGAGGATGCATATCTAGCATCACATCTGAGTAGAACCTCTTGACACTTGCACCAACCGTCTGTACCTGATTTTCAACATATCTAACAGTGTCCTGTGATATACCGTGTGCCCAGTTACGACGGTGAATGCTTAATTGATCAAAGCAGTGCAAGGTGAATAAAAGGTACTACACATTGAAGTTATGAACAAGTTCAAGATCAGCAGTACTACAACAACTATGCCTCAATTCCTAAGCTTGTCGGGATCAGCAGTACGAATCCTTACTAAAAAAAAAAGGGCAGCCCAGTGCACAAGGCATCTGCATGAATGCAGGATCCGGGGAAGGACCGCACCCAGAGGGGTGTGATGTAGACAGCCTACCCTAATGTAAGCATTAGTAGTTGCTGCCACGGCTCGAACCTGTGACCTACAAGTCACACGGAGACAACTTTACCGTTGCTCCAAGGCACCCCTTCCTAACCATATAAATATTGGAATCCTTAAACCATATAAATATAGGAAGTTGATTGCCATGCAAAACTTGAAGTACAATGCTATCACCTAACTGCAAAAGTCAGGATATAGTTTTTGCCAATTCTATCATTTAATCGTTGAGACAAATTGAAGTATCAAATATGTCCAATCTACAACAAATTTCAAATAAAATAAGGGTAGTACTATGGGCAACGAATGAGGGGCAAGTTTGTATAGTCTTTCTCTCGACTTTCCTCTTACTAAACCCAATGTCTATTCCTTGTAACAAAAGATACAAGCACCTATTAGTTGGGTACAAAGGATATATCGAACATGTGTTGTCACTAGTTAAACAGGAATAAAAAAAAGTTAATTTAGAGAGGAATGAAGTTTACCTGGTACATAACCTCTTCCATCTCCAAACACATAGCTTCAAATTTGTGGTATATATTTCCAACCCATGATATACCTTTCATATCCATTGCGTAACACTTTGATACCTTTTCCGGGATTCAACAAAGTACTGCAATATGATATAGCTTTCAGCTGCAGAATTCGACAAGTTGCTGCACTATTAGAACTTGTATAAGATCATAAATTACAAAATTCTCTTGAGCCAGATTATTCACCAACTTCAATCAAATGCATGAGTCACCCCCTCTAAATCACCGCACTGATGTAAAATTGATGCCCCAAGATAAACAAGACACAAATAAAATCCAATCTCCACAACAAAGTTCAAACGGTGCACTCATAGAACCATTTATTAGTATTAGCAAAATTCTGTTCATTGTTTACCTGAATTATAACAGTACGGTTGAAACTCTTTAAACAGAAAACAACGACGACCCAGTGAAATCCCACTAGTGGGGTCTGGAAACTCTTTAAACAGAACTTGAAACTAAATCAGAATGCTTTGAATTAGCATATAAATAGCACAAGCTCGTCTATTTGTAACATTATTCTATTTCTCTGGATTAAGGAGACACGGTAAGTATTCTTATAATAGGATGATCCGACCTACTACTACATTTACAGTCATTGAACCGATCAACCAAAAGAATACAAAATAGTCCAAAAACTCAACCATTAAACTAAGAGAAGTCATTTGATAGGCTCACCGGATAAGTTCACCCCGTGTTTCAACAATCAAAACTTCAGCAGTTCATAAGTTTCACAAATCAATTAGGAAAACAGATATCTTAGATAAATATAAAGAAGGCAAGAATGGATTTTTTTAATAAGATGATGATAGCAGCCAAGTGCAACGCCGGGGCAGATGCAGCTTTATGTTACCCGGTTCATGTTTCAGTACTTTTAACAGCGCATTATGTATAAAACTCCACTAAAATTGCAACAAAGAGTAGGTATGAACCCATAACTTTAAAAATATAATAGGTTCAATCCTAAGAACCTTAAATGTTGAACCCGCAGAGCTTAATTTCTAGATCTCCCTCTGAGTGCAGCCAAGGGGTTCCTTAACACATGACGTTTTAATGCTTTGGCGTACAAATAACAAAACTCAGAACTCCTTAAAAGACTTGTGCAGCTATAATTCTTGGACCATATGTTTCATGTATGTAGAGTAACTTTTTGGCCTACAAATGGACAAAATGGAAATATCTGCAGTAATCAAGATTCCAAAGCCTTTTTAGTCAGCTAAAGTCAACAAAAGGGTTTAAGAAGCTTCCTTATTACCCAAACTACACCTCATACCAAATTTCCAACAAAAGCATTCCAAACCCATGAAATAATTCATCAAAAACATGAACCAAAAAGCAAGCTACTTTACCTAAAACCCCATAAATTTCACATAGAGAAGATATCTCAATCCATTTCTTTCAAAAAGATAAGCACATAATATAAAAATTAAAAAAGGAGCTTGGTTATTAAAGGAAATCATTACTAGAGTTGAAGCATAAGAGCTTACTGTTTAAAAATAAGAATACCCAGAAGCAAAGAGTGAGTCCCGGTATTAATTTTTTTCAGCAGAATCCTTAAAAAGGTAAACTTTTGCAAGAACGATTGTGAACAAAAAGCACAAGACAGTGTAGGACAGAGAGAAACAGAGGAGTTGGGAGAGTTTTGTTGAGTTGAAAATTTTCGAGAAACGTAAAGAGAGAGTTCGCCTGGTTTCTTTGTCGACACGTGTGCAAAAAAGCCTGCCTTATGAATTGTGTAACATCTGCGAGAAACGATACTCCACGTAATAAAATAGTTTCTATTTTAATGAAGAGTATGTTACTTAAAAGAAGATTAAAATACAAGAAAAAGAAAAAGCTTGATCGTACTTATCCATTTCCATTTCCTCCAATTGCTTACAAATTGTGCAATTCCTTAATAATTCGCAAGGTTTATCTATGGGAAACTTACACAAATGTCTCAATTAAATCTTAACTTATCAACCTCTAGCCATTAGTCATAGACTTACCAAAACTAGCCAATGAAAATTGAAAAACCAAATAATATGGTTCTTTCTCTCAAAGAATCACATGCAAAAATCACCTTTCATATTTTTAAGCGTGATTAGCAACATTAGATACAAGACGGAAAGAAAATTTCATGGACGGGATAGCAAATAAGGTGATGAAATACAAAAATCTATACAATATTTCAAAAATCTAAACAAAAAAGGAACTTTTTCAATGGGTAGTTGAAATTCATTGAAAATATATAGATAAGTCAATATACAAAATTTGAAGAAGATTGGAGGTGTTTTGGACTGGTTTTGTATCAAAATTCGTAATTAAATCGAGTTCAAAAAAGCCTTCTGCGACACATGTATCAAACATTTATCACGCATGTATCACACACACAGGTATACATGGATATACATGTGATACACAATTGATACAAATATGATACATATGTGATACACAAATGATACACATATCATTTTTTTTATGTTCAGTTTTTACTTCGAATTTTCAATTCAAACCACCTCAAAACTTCACCAAATCATCCCAAAACTGAGATTCAAGCTACTTAAGTTGTGCCCAATCTATTCTAATAACACCCACTCAAAACAAAGCAAAAATTTGATATTGTTTTGCTACAAATAGCTAATTGGCTAATTTGGCTAATATTAGTAATATTTTATCAATTGGCCAATTTTTGTAATGAGCTACCTATAAATGGACATAGCTGGTAATTTCTCTTCTCTATTAGATAACAATTACTCTGATGTTCCAATATGCACATCTGTCATGCTTTCTTTTTTGATTTGTTCAAAAAAAAAATCATACTACTTTGTTTAAAAATTATATAACGTCGTGTTTAGTCAAACATTACCATATAAATTGGACATATTGAATATTTTCTTTTTTCCGATGACAATAGTATTCACACTAGTTCGTACAAACTCTAGTTATTCCATCAGATATGTACACTTTTCATACATTTTCTATTAGGTATTCTGTCCACCAATATTTAAGTAAAGTAAAAAAAGTTACAAACTTCAATATTTATATCGGATAACATTAGTATTGGCACGTTGTGCATTCCTGAGATATTTTGGAAGGACAGTGTAAGGCAAAGCAACTAACTTTCTTGTGTTTGCTTTTCGCTAATCGAAGACCCCCATATATGGGGTAGACTAGACTATTATACGAAAAAGCTGTTAGCTTCAAGGTTTCACGTATTAATTTTGATGATAACAAATCAACTTAATTATTAATTAAAGAATATTTACTTGTGGTAATCTTATTTTTGCATAAGTTTATTCAAGAAAGAACATGCTGGTAAAGATCCAGACAAATATGGGAAAGAGAATATCATGTGAAGAATTTATCAAGGAATATTATTTTCAGAGATTTAATCTCCAAGCATCGTAGAAGGAATAATATTTGAAAGTGAAATTTTAAATATCGAATGACTTACTACAATATCAAAAGAAGAATCTACGAAAATAATGGAAGGAAAGTTTTTCAATATCTTGAAAGGAAAGTTGCTAAAATCATGGAGAAGATCTATTATTTTGTGGAAGGAAGATACTATATGGAAGAGATACTACAAGGCCAAGGAAGAATATATTTTTTATGGAAAGAAATTATATTATGGGTATAGTATATTCTGTATTATGGAAAGAGATTATTTCTCAAGATCAAGGAAGGAGTCAAAGATATATTGAGATCTATCAAAAGGAAATTGTGCAACAAGGAAAGAAATATTTCTCACTATAAAAAGAGCAGATGTGCAGTACGAAGCAAATAAATTGGTCTAGTGAAGAAGGAAAGAAAAGCACGTTGAAAAGCTACAAGAAAGGAAGGTTGAAGAGTGGTCTTTGATTATGTAAAGATTATTATATCTCTGGACAAAAATTATGAAAAGTCAATCATGGGTTTTTAAATAGCACATGGAGAAAGATCTAGGAAGAGCTTACGAAGAAAATATTGCTATGAATGGAATGATATAATCAAGGTCCAAGATTAAGGAATTATAATGGAAATGATCTCAAATCTATACGGGATCATTTAAGTGCAAGATCCAAAAGTAATTCCTTGTATTATTTAAAAGCATGTGAAGAGCTTCTTTATGAAAATATCTTTTTGGTCAAATCTAATCATCTTTAGATATAAAAGGAACATGAACATGGACAAGGAAGTGCAAGTTATCAGAAGCAAAGAATGTGGAGAAGGTATCAAGTTGCACAAATCAAGCAGGACACAAAATCACAAAAATGCTACTTCATTTATGAAGTATAACGGCTAGAAGGATTCGAAGATAGTATAAGAAGGAGCGATCAAAGACGGGAAAATTTGCGCAACCTTCTATACAATTGTCTACCCAACTACAAGTTCTTTATTCTACTCTTAACAAGCATTGTAATTGTCACACCTCCTTTTTCTACCCGAAAGGGTATAGGGGAGTTTTTTCAATTAAAGTGACAATAATCGAAACGGGATTATTTATTCAAATTCAGAGTCGTCACTTGGGATAATTTATGGTGTCCCAAGTCACTGGTTTAAAATCCCGAATCGAGGAAGTTTGACTCTGTTTTACAGTCCGCTAAATACAGAAATCCGGGTAAGAAATTCTATTAACCCGAGAGAAGGTATTAGGTATTTTCGGGTTCTGTGGTTTTAGCACGGTCGCTCAACTATTATCAATTGGTCTAATTATCTAATTTATTACATATTTGGAACCTACGTGCATTTTTAAACTTTTTAACTGCTTTTTATAGACTGATTCATGATTGTCATGCACTTGTTTGTTTTGGAAAACGCATCGTAAACCACGCTACACGAAATGCACCCGCAGTTCACGACATGTTTATTTTATTTAACATTATTGGAAGTTGAAGTCGGGTCACATGAAATGTACACTCGGATTGGAAAATTATGTATCACAACTACGTCACGGGAACCGTACCCGTAGCTATGATGATTTTTATTATAAACGCGCCTAAAGCAAGCTACGAAGGTTCGTGTTTAAACTAGCCGAAATTCAATATAAAGCTTCTAATTATAGATATGCATTGGGGAATATGTCAGCCTTTAATTATTCTGAAAAATTGGGCCAGCAACAGGCCCATTATATTATTCCATCGCAACCTTGGAAGTGAGTATCACTAGTACTGGTTGGGCTCGAAACTGAGCCCAGAAGTGTAAAGAACAGGAAACAGAATCATGCCAAGTCCAGTTTCGACAAGGCTACCTCATTTGGGCCGTCATCAGGCCCAATTGCTCTCAGCAAGAGGGCCTTCAATGCTAAGGCCCTATTTGAAGCTCAACCCTTTCGAATACACATATTGCATAAATTCTGGAGATTAAAATGCTGAATAATCATGTTATGGGCTTTGATTTATTGACAGGCCATTAATAATACAACATTATCTTGAACCACCTTAAACTACTAATTAATCACATTAAAAATCAGTTGTGTAACCTCTTCAACCACAACTGAAATTCTAAGATACAATCTGAATATTACTTGGCAATTAAATAACTGAATTTTCTTTTAAACATGGATGAACTTGGACATCAAAATCCAAGTGATATACCATGACCAGTATAACACCCCATACTCTTTAACAAATAAACAAGAAACAAGCTAATAACAACATCAATCACCCTGAACTCTTGAACAACACCTGAAAAGCTAAACTATTTTGAGCATTCAAACATGACAGCCCTAACCAAATCATAGACTAGCATAGTATATCCAAGACTTAAACGAAAGCTAAAAAAAGAATTACAAAAAAACAGTGGAACGACTTGAAAGGAACATGTAAGAGAAATTGAAACTCAAAATTTGAACATGAACTTTATATCATCAAGGTCTATTCTTCCAAAAACGCATGCTTACATTCCATTTTGTCACTCAAGGTTAAAGGAGGTATCTGATTATAGAGCAAAAAACAAAGTAAGGGAGCTGAAATCGACAGAAAACAGCAAGCAGAAATAAAATCAGGAGCAGAGACACAGCAGTATCACACCTCCAAGCTTAAACCATCTTTCGACCTTGAAAACCAGAAATCCCAAAGAGAATTTGTTCTAACTTTGATCAAAATCAGAAAAATAGATCAGCTACTAATGGAACAGTAGAGGTGAACTTTAGAGGTGTTTTTTAGGATCTGAATCTCTAACTCAAAATGAAAGAAAAGGATCCTTATATAGGCACTTCTAGGGCAGCCCTAACCTGATTTCCTAATTCACCTTTCTACCCCTTTAAACTTAGTTATTTCGCCTCCTGGACCCTGAAAAACAGCTGAGTTGTCTTTAATTCGTGGTATACAAGCCTTATCTTATCCTCTAAAAGCTTCTCCCCTAACAGAAAATATTCCTTTAGGCCTAAAAATATCCAAAATAACCCCTGATACCCTTGTATTTACCTCCTAAACTAAACCAACATGGGCCATCTGACCCCCAGACTTAAGCCCAAACGAGTGGGTTTCTACTGCCCTAGCCTGGCACACACAGAAACCCAATAGGCAACCCAAACATGGTAATTACATGAAAAACAAAATTCAAAGACATGATTACTAAGGCTATGACCTATAAACTAACTGGTTAATCAACCCACAGAAATGAAAAAAAATCTAACTAACAGTAATCAAACAAACAAAAATAAACACTGCTTTTCCTTTAATCTTCTTAGAATGAACGAAACAATAAAGCAAAGAGGACGAGAACTATACCCACTGAGAAAACAAAGAATGAATCCGATGTGGATCTCTGATTGGACTTCGAGATAGCTCGAAAATGACCCCAAACGATTGTTCTTGTCAAGAAGAATCTATTTAGGGTGAGCTTTGAACCACACGAACGATGAAATTCGGAAGACCCTGAACATGCAATACCAGTTTTGCTTTTTTGATTCTCAAACTTGAAATTGGAAGGGTTCAATGGGGATTTAGGGAAAACCTTTTATGAATTTGAAAAGAGGAGGGCAAGGTGATTGTATGGTGGAAATTTGGGTGGGTTTGGAGACCGATCGCCGCCGTGAGACAATTTCCGATGGGCGGCGGCTAGGGTTTATGTTGTTTGAGGTGGAGAGGAATTAAGGGCGGCTAGGGTTAGCTGAAGAGAGACGGGGGAGGGGGGACTGGGGGGATCTCTAGGGTTTGGGGAGGTGTTAGGACATATATATGGGGTGGGGTGTTGAGTTCTCAGCCGTTAGATCAAGGGTGATCAACGGTTGGGATTGATGGACGCCAAACAATGTCGTTTCGTTAAGTAGGAAGGGCTGGACCGGGTGTGGAATTGGGCTAGGCGATTTTTTTTTTTGTTGAGAAAAGGGGTTTGGGCTCGATAGATTCAGAGGCCCAAATCGAGTTTAAAAACCAAATAACCCCTTCTTTATTATATGGACTCAATTTCCTTTAATTTAAAATACTAATTACTAATAAACTTAATTAAACCTAAATTAAATCCTAAACAAAATCTAGCAACGTAAAATTGACTAAAATAATTAGTTGATTTAGAACTAATGAAAGAAGGGTACTAATTTATAAAACTAAAGCTAACATGTGGAGTAATTTATATTTTTTGATTTTTGTTTATTGATGCAATTAATTAATAATTTAACTTAAAAATGTCAATATCAACCTAAGAATGCAATGCATGAAACTTGAATATATATTTTTCGGGTATTTTCTATGCTTTTAATATATGCAAAATGCAACTAAAATGCAAACAATTAAGCAAATATTCCTAAAAATTCTATAAAAATTAAAATAAACTACAAAAATATATTTTGTGATTTTGTAGGAGTATTTTGGTCGGACAAAAATCACGTGCTCACAGTAATTCACTTTTAGATTTACCGTGTACACAAAAGAGAGAAGAGAGACAGAAAAATATTGGAGAGGCAGTGTGTCCGAGAGGTTGTGTCATTGTTCGTTGTTGGGTAGCAAGTGAAAACCAACCCTGTCAACGTTGGTGGTGATAGCTGAAAACCACAAAGGTTGTACTCAATTCAATTTACAAAGAGCTCTAAAAGACAACACTCTTGCAACCCAAGAGGACTGGATTAGGATACCACATTGGTTCAGAACCAGTATAAAAACTTATGGCATCATTTACTTTATCGCTCTCATATTATATTCTGTTCCTTTACTGTTTATTGTGATTAACACATGTTTAAATCGAAAGGACTAACAGTTTTGTGCAGGTTGTCTCCGCATAAGACGACTAGATCTGAAGAGTAGTCGGCTAGAAATTTAAAAATGCTACAATTGACCCCCTTTTGTACTTTCAAAAGCCAATATCATGATTGCAATATGCAAAAAGAGGATTGAAAAGAGCATTGAATGAAAGTTTTATTTTTATTAAAGAGAACAAATATTATAAGAACTCAATGTGGTACCACGAGAGGAGACACCGATATAGAAATTTGAATGCTTATTGAAAACTTCGATTACTATACATCAAAGTTACAAGAGATGACTTAAATGAAACTACTATAATAAAATAGTAGTTTCTATTTTAATGAAGAGTATGTTACTTAGAAGAAAGATAAAAATACAAGAAAAAGAAAAAGCTTGATCGTACTTATCCATTTCTATTTCCTGCATTGCTTACAAATTGTGCAATTCCTTACTAATTCGCAAGGTTTATCTATTAAATAACAATTACTCTAATGTTCCAATATGTACATCTGTCATGCTTTATTTTTTTGATTTTGTTGAGAATATAATCAGCTTCTGTGCCGATTGTTTTGATTATTATAGCCCTGTTCCCCTATTTATTGCCTCCTCTATTCAATTGTGGTTATGTGACAGTGGTTGGTGTGGTTTCAGATGGGTTTCGAAGTGAATTGGGACACTCAGTCCCAAGGTTGGAAGCTTAAGTCGAAAGAGTTGATCGGAGTTTGACTTTTGTGTAGATAACTCCAGGATGGAGTTTTGATGGTACCGATAGCTTCGTAAGGTGATTTTGGACTCAGGGGTATGTCCGGATATTGTCTGGGAGGTCACTAGGTCGTTTTGGCTTGAATTGGCGAAAATTAAAATTGAAGGTTTGGGAGATTTGATGACATTCGTGGTTGTGTACATAGATGATGTTATCATCAAAGGAACTCATTTGGAAGAAATCAATAGTTTGAAGAAGTTCCTACACGAAACCTTTAGAATAAAGGATCTGGGGAAACTATGCTATTTTCATGGATTGGAGATCCTCTACAAAGGGGATACAGTTTTGATCACACAGAAAAAGTTCACTACAGATCTTCTGAAAGAGTTTGATTGTTTGGGATACTCTGTTGTGGCCTCACCTCTTGATTCATCAGCAAAACTAAAAGCAAATGAAAGCACATTGCTCCCAGATCCTAGCTATTATAGGAAATTGATTGGGAAGTTGAACTTTCTTGTAGGAATCGGGCCTGACATAGCTTATACTGTTCAACACTTGAGCTAATATATGCAAAATCCCAGGGATAGTCATTTAAAAGCCGGTGTCCATGTGCTGAGATACTTAAAGGATACTCATGTCTGGGCATCTTTTTATCCAACAGTAAAGACTACATAACAAGAGCTTTTGGTGATTCTGATTGGGTTGCTTGCCCCTGAAACTAGAAAGTCTGTTAGCGATTATATAGTGCTACTCAGTGATAGTTCTATCAGTTGAAAATCAAAGAAATAGTCTACTATATTCTTATCTTCAGCAGAAGCAAAGTATAGAGCAATCAGAAAAATAGTTGGAGAATTGGTATGGCTTGCAAGACTTCTCGAGGAGCTCACAGTACCTCTTTCCATGCCCATACTGGTCTTTTGCGACAGCCAGACAGCACTTCACATTGCAAAGAATCCAGTTTTTCATGAGCGGGCCAAGCATATAGAAGTGGAATGTCACTTTATGAGAGACAAACTTCAAGATGGTCTGATTTCACTAAATTACATTCCCACTCATGAACAGCTCGCAGACATCTTTGCTAAGTCCTTACCAGGGAACAAACACTCTCTTGTACTCAGTAAGTTAGCTATGAATTCCTCACCTCCAACTTGAGGGGGGTGTTGAGAATATAATCTGCTCATACTTAATTTAAATATCTAGTCATCTTACATGTATTGTATTTTTCTGTATAGGTTAGTTTTGCAATGAGTTAGGCTATACGTGTAATAAGGCTGTTAGGTTGTTTGGATACAATTAGTTAGTGGAAGTTAAAGCTGGTGCCAGATGTATACATGTATAAAGGGGGATACCAAAAATTTTACAATTAAGAAAGTTTCATTTATGCTTCATTCAACTTCTCGAAGTTTCTCAGTGTGGATGTTTACAATTTCCTCCATCGGAGCTCATTCTTAGCTCGATTACTCCACTGATTTTTAATATTTTGGAGATTTGTTCCAAAAAAAATAATATCATCTTCTTTGTTTAAAAATTATATAACCTCGTGCTTATGTTACATCTCGCATTTTCGTATGTTAAAGTTTCGTCTTCAGTTAATCGACGTAGACTCGGGGATGGGATTATCTTGAGGTTATACGCATTTATGCTATTTATAATAGGCGATAAGTAAAATGCCGTGAAGGTTAAAGGGTAAACGAATCAAATAAAATGAGTTTCGTTGAAGATTGTCGATTTGGTATAAAATACTATCCGAGCTATAGTACCTGGTATTTATGGACTAGTGTCATACAAGGTATTACATGACCATGATAGTAAGGTGTATAAGGTATGTTAAAAGTGAATAGTATTTTAAGTAAGTTGAGGTAATTCTTAATTATGTGGGTAATTGATTAATTATTGGATAATTGGAGATTACCTAGTTAATTAAGGAATTGTTGGGTAATTAATTAAAGAATTGGGATAAGACTTAACCCCTCCTCAATGTGGCAGCGCCCCCCTTTCCTATTTTATGACTCTTAAAAGAGATTTAAAGGTGGCACACTTGAAAAGGTTATGTGACACCAAGCTTGAAATACGGTGCCCACCTAAAGGATAAAGGTAACATTCCTAAGTTCAAAATCAATTGCTAAGGAAAGAGTTTCAGTAAATATTTCTTTGCATAGCAACGTTACATCTCTTAAGAAAGAGTTTCATCAAAGATGATTTTGCAATAAGCAACGTTATTGCTTCGACCATTTCATATGAAGACTACTAATATTATAGCAACGTGGGGATTGCGATTCTAAGGGAGTACGGTGCAATCTTTGCCAAGAATATCATACGGATTTTTTCTTACTCCAGGTACGTTAAGGTTAAGCCCTATTTTGGCATGATCTCGTAACTACATGTGTTTGATAACGAGGCATAAAGAGAAGTTCATACTCCCGAATTTATATACATTATCCTAGTCTCTTAAGTTATAGTATTCTCCCTTATCGGGACTTTATATTCAATTGAGTATTGTCTTCTTCCAGTAAGAGAGAAGAGGTTATATATACATACAGTATTACAGTATTTTCACCACCATCAAGCTATAATCGGTGGGCAGACCCTTATTGGGCAACCTCAGATCAGATGGTAAGTTATATACCGAGCCTACTGTGGCCGAGCGCCTATGAGCGAGCCCAGCATGGCCGAGATACAGAGCCTAGTATGGCCGAGCGCCTATGAGCGGGCCTACTACGGCGGACCAGTTACACGTTCCGAGCCGTATAGGGCCGGACATCTATTTTATTTACTATATTGAGAGAGTTGAGTCAGTATCAGCAGGTAAGTATATCTCCAGATCATCTTTGACTCCTAGTTACTTTCAATTATTATATTATCAGTTCAGTTTCAGCTTTCGGTTATTTTATTTCCTTGCATACTCGGTACATTATTTCGTACTGACATCCCTCTTTCTGGGGACGCTGCATTTCATGCGTGCAGGTTCAGACAGACAGACGGGTAGACCTCCTCAGTAGGTGTTGCCCGTGTTCAGCTTTATCGGTAAGCTCCACAACCTTTGGAGTAGTCGGGTCTAGAGTTTTGTGTACATCTTGTGTATATATGTATATAGGTTATGGGTAGGTCGGGGCAGTGTTCCGATCACAGTAGAGGCTTGTAGACCCTTGTCAGTTAGTGCAGTATATTGGGCTTATAGGCCTTGTATGTATATTTTGTTGATTTGTCAATTGTAGTAGTTATGATGGCCTTGTCGGCCCAGCTTTATATTGATGTTTAGTCAGCATTAGCTTCCGTTTAGTTTTATATTTTGCTTCGCAAATTGTCTTGCAATGTGGCCCATGGCCAAAGTATGACATTATATGTTCAGAGTCCCTTAGTCGCAAGTTGGTACGCAATAATAGGTGAGGCACCGGGTACCGGCCTCGCCCCCAGGTTCGGGGCATGACAACTTAGTCAAACATCACCACATAAATTAGGACATATTGAATTTTTTCTTTTTTCCGATGACAATGGTATTCAAACAAGTTCGTACAAACTCTATTTATTCCATCAGATATATACACTTTCCATACATTTTCTATTGGCTATTCTGTCTAAAAACATTTGAGAAAAATGGAAAAAGTTACCATACTTAAATATTTATACTGGGTCACATTTGTACGGGCACGCTGCGCTTTCCTGGGATATTTTGGAAGGACAATGTAAGGCAAAGTAACTAACTTTCTTGTGATCACTTTTCGCTAATCGACAGCCCCCTTATATATGGTAGACTAGACTGTTAGTGTTATATGAAAAGGCCAACATCATGATCATAATATGCAAAGAGAGAATTGAATGAAAGTTTTATTTGTATTAAAGAGAACAAAGATTACAAGAAGTCAATGTGGTACCGCGAGAGGAGACACCGATATAGAAATTTGAATGCTTATTTAAAACTTCGACTACTATACACCAAAGTTACAAGAGATGACTTAAATAAGCTAGAAAATTATGATGCAAATAACGAAGTAAAGCTAATTTATTATACATGAAAAATGACCAAAAATTCTACAAAAGAAAAGTTTGTCGAGTGGACTGCACTGGGAGGGGACGCGTCCGTGTTTTCAGCTTTAGATGGTGCACGCTCCGCGAGGGTGCTAGTTACTGGGTATCTGCTTGTAGTCGTTGGCTGCAAAGGAGCGATTCCTGCTTGTCATGCCCCGAACAATGCCTGGGCATAACATGATACTTTGTGCCTAAGCCTAACTATATATGATCGAGCGAACCAACTGGGTGGCTGGATCAACATGTGGTATCACTGTAAGTTGAATATAAACATTCAACATGTTGATCTACTAAAGAGTCTGACTGACATATCATAAATATGGAAAGTACTGAAAAGTCTGCAAGTATAAACGAGTAGCCCATTCAACATGTTGATCTACTAAAGAGTCTAACTGACATATCATAAATATGGAAAGTACTGAAAAGTCTGCAAGTATAAACGAGTAGCCGACAAGGCTAACACATAAAAGCCTGCTAATATCTGACTGACTAGGGAGTAGTCTACCAAGCCTCTAAAGGAAAATGAAATGCTAATTGTTTACCGAGACAAGGTCCCCGGTATACCTTATTAACTGAAATACTATAATGACTGAAAAAGGGAGGGATAATGCCCCGAAAGATTGGAGCTCATCAATAGCTGATACGAGATGTCCTAGCAAGCAGAATCGTCAACCTGCAAATCGTTACCTGCATCGCAAGATGCAGGCCTCGGGAAAAAAGGGACGTCAGTACATTTGAATTGCACTGGTACGTAAAACAACTGAAGGAAAGAACTGTAAATACTGAAAGTGAAACTGATAATTGAACTAAACATAGGAAGTAAGGTTATGAATACTCCCTCTTCTTAATGATGAACCAACTGTTTATCTGAATAAATAGACTGCAGCCTCAGGCCCAATATATATAAATGTGCACAAACTGCGGCCTCGGACCCAAGTATACGTATACATAACTGCGGCCTCAGGGCCAAAAATGCATAAAGCATAAACTGTAGCCTCAGGCCCAAATACAGGTGTTCAACACTCAGGAATTTAGAATCAGGTACTGAGAATCATACTGCAATACTTGATACTGAAATACTAAACCATACTGAGTTACATGATACTGGAATACTGAATAGGACTAGACTGAGGTGTGTATTCATAATAAGTTGACTTGTCATAACTGAATCTCATAGAATATTGAATGATTATGAAACTATACCATCTAGAGATAGAAGTTCTATGACTATTCGTGGAACTAAGGCATAATCACTTTATGAGGAAACTAGTAATAGTCATAATGAATAGGACATAGGGAGAATCATAGGCATTCCCAAAACGTAAAGAGTTAGTCTCACATACCTTAAATTTCTGCTCTTGAGCGTAATACAACATAATCTATTTCAATACAAGTCAAAGAGATTTCATATTAGCAATAATACTCATATTTTGGTCACTTCGGCATTTTCTCAAACACTTGGTGAGAATAAAGCTTCATAGTCCTTATTAATGTTGTTTCTACACCCAATAACCCATTCTCTTGCCCCTAGATAAATT